GAAGCGACCTTCGCTCCTTCGTGAAGAGATCCTCGTACGAAACAGTCGCTAATTAAAAGCAGAAATGTTACTTAATGAAACTGTCTGAAAAATCTTCCAAAAATAGTATAAGGTTTTACTAGACCAAAATTGTGTTTGTAAAATGAAACCACAAAATTTTGTACAACCAGCTATAGCTCTATATGTGCATGTTTGGTATACCCTAAGACCAACAATCATTATGGTAATTTAAACACCTGTACGGTTCTGACAAGTTTCCCCAATCCAGAAGTCCACACACTCCCCATTACATACTCCAGTCGTCTTGTTACAGGCTGAACCGTTTGCACAGTGACAGGTTTGGGTACAGTCAGCTCCATACAAACCGTCTGGACACTCTGAAAAAGTATGCAAACTTTTCATCAGTCTTTTTTTACGCCTGGATTTATCAATTAAAATTAACGTATTGACGTACGTAGAAAGACAGGTTATGAACCATATGTTGGAGAATTATTCAAGCATATCATGTCATGATATTCTGTCAATTCGATATGAATAAAAAACTTCCACGACCTCATACCTTCGCCAAATACAAATGTAATGTTAACCTTTATGATTGACGAATTACAAATTGTTCATTCTCATTGATTATGCAAATAAAACCATCATTTGCATGAAATATATCAGTTGTTCATATTGACACCCAATGACAGTCTTATTTTTGACAAAGAAAGCTATTCTAGCATTTCCTCATAAATTATGCAAATGAGGTTCTCATTGGAATAAGTTATGTTTGATGATGTCCATGTTTACCTGACTTTCAAAAGTATAGAATTATAAAAGTTTCTCATTAATTATGTAAATTTTGACCCAATTTACATAATTACATAATTAACATTTGCCCAAAGGGTCCTCTTCCCCTTAGTTACATATGTCGTAAGTTTGAATGGTCCTATCATGGAACGAAGCAGATTTATAGAATTTCGTCATTAATTATGTAAATTAGATCCTGAGTTGCCATTTCATTATGTTAAGCATCACTTAAGCTACCTACATAACGACAATCCGTCAACCGGTTCTTGAGTTATCTTACTTTAAACATTTTCAAAGAAACGACCCTGGAGTTCCCAAGTTGCTAGGTGCTACTTCTTCCCGAACACAAGAGCCATTTGCCACCCTAATATCATGACCCTAGCATGTCCAGATCGGAAACCGGAAGTTCCGCTGCAGTACCATAACAAGCCGCCAGGTTACCCGAAATCTAGTCATTTCGAGGTCTCATCAAGACTTCCCCACCTACCAAATATCAAGGCAATTCATCAAAGCCTTCTCAAGTTATCGTGTTCACACACACGCACACGCACACGCGCACACATACAGACACACACACAAAGACACACAGACACACACACACAGACACACACACGAACGCCTCTGAAAACATAACCTTCTTGGCGAAGGTAACAATGTACATGTAAATTTGACTATATGGTAATGTAATATTTCTTTCTCCTACCACGTTATTATACATGGCCTGGACTGTACATAACAGAAACAACGCTCTGAATTAGTTCGTCTTTGTATTTATGTTGTATATATCCAACAAGAGTTCCACGATCTCATACCTTCGCCAAATGATACTAACCCTTGTGGTTGACAAATTTAATTATACAAATTTTAATCATTGATTTTGTAAATAAGAGCCCCATTTGTCGATGAAGGTTAGACATCCAGGTAATACGATACGCCAAAAAGCAGTTACTCAGGCAACTGGATATGATTTTGAAAACGTCAGACGTTTCAGCTAGTATCCACTAGCTTTCGTCAGTGACTGAGAGACCAGAGGGGAAAACAGGTTTATAAGCACAACTTTCAGTCACTGACGAAAGCTAGTGGATACTAGCTGAAACGTCTGACGTTTTCAAAATCATATCAAGTTGCTTGAGTAACTGCTTTTTGGCGTAAGAGCCCCATTTGCATGGATTATATCAGTTGATCATATTCTCCGCCCAATGACAGCATTATCTTAACAAAAATGCTATTTTAGCACTTACTCATAAATTATGCAAATGAGGCCATGATTTGAATAAATTATGTTTGTTGATGTTCACCTTCACTTAATTTCCAAATGTGGCAAGTATGAAATTCCCAGCAGTTACAACTATGAAATTATAAAAATTCGTCATTTATTATGTAAATTAGGTCCTCATTTACATAATCTATATCCTCAGATGTTTTTCTCGTTCTCACAAGTGATGTCACAAGTGTTTCATAGTTCTATTATCGAACAAAGCAGATTTATAGAATTTCCTCATTAATTATGCAAATTTGCATAATTGTCATCTGATCATGTCAAGCATCACTTCAACTACCTATATGCCAAAAATCACGACAATCCGTCAACCGGTTCTTGAGTTATCCTCCTTTGAAAAAATTTCAACAAATGCTCATGCAGTCCAGAACAAGCCGCTAGGGGACCCTAAACTCATGTCACTTCTTCCCTATCCCAAGAGCTATCTGTCATTCAAAATTCGTGACCCTAGCATGTCCAGATCACGAGATATCAAAACCGGAAGTTCTGCTGCAGTACCTAGGAAAGCCGCCAGGGGGCCCAAAATCTAATCATTTCTAGGTCTCATGAAGACCTACCCACCTACCAAGTTCCGTGCCAATCCATCCATTGCTTCTCGAGTTATCTTGCTAAACCACACACATACATACATACATAGTACATACATACATACATACAAACGCTACTAAAAACATAACCTTCTTGGCGAAGGTAAAAATAATTCTTACCGCGATCACATTTGTCACCATAGTATCCAGCCGCACACACGAAAGTTCCTTCGGTCGGACATGTCCCGGTGAACCTGTCACAGGTCTGGTTCCCGTAACAATGTCCACAGGGTATACCACAGTCAGGACCGTACGTACCGGTACACTCTGTTTCAAAGTTATGTAGTTAAGTATAAAGGTGATTTTTTTATTGATCAAAATAAGGTGGGTGATAAGAACAGCCGAAGAACATATCTTGATCACAACTATTGCTAAGTAGCTTCACTTTTCATGGCACTCTATAGCAATAAACAGCCTTAAATGTGAAAAATTGACCTTATCTTGCAAACATTTTGTCACAATGTATACACTGTATCAAATGAGCCGTGATATCAAGTACTACAATCTGGTCTACAGTCAATATGGACTGTGCATATCTGGCACAAAATATTATTAAAATTATAAACATTATCATACATTCATTCATCCACCCATTCATTCATTCATTCATTTATTCAATCATTCCTTACAGTACATAAATTACGTACCCTGATCACAGAATACACCATGCCATCCATCAGCACATGCGCAGATGTAAAGTCCGGAATCTTCAGGCCCTGGGGTCAGGGTTCCACCATTCTCGCACTGTTTGAATGGAGACGCTGTGGAAAAGTAAAAGAATGATAAAGAGTTGACATGTTTGTTTGTTTGTTTGTTTGTCTTTTTTGTTTGTGAATTTCACACTACTCTTCCCTGGAGTCCGTAGTGAACAATCAGACAAGTATTTTTATTTTATTTTATTCACGTGGATTTTTGAGCATTGGATAGGAAGCACTTGTTGTGCTTATGTAAATCCGCTGCTCATAAAACATAATACAAATGTAACATAAAGATGACATAAAGTATAACATAAACATAAAATGAAAGTGGCTGGCGCACCAATACCTAGCATAACATTATTGAGATTGGTCAAATCTTCCAAAGTGGTGGATATAGTTAAACACAATATCAAAGATACGGCAGTTGGTAGGGTATGGGAGGGAGGGGCTACCTGTAAGAAGTAAAGTACATAATGTGGCGTCGTTTACGTTGAGTGGGTCGGAAGGAAGTATGTTTTCAAGATGAAGGCAAGATATGGATAACAACATTTTGGTCCTTTCAGTATTATAACATTTGCAGTGTAATAAATAGTGTTCTGGTGTCTCATTCGGATGCCCACATTTGCACTCGGGACTACTGATACAGTGATGCTGGAATAGACAAGTATTTGCACCATCGCACACCGGGGCATGCCCCTACTCTTTTTCGAAAGGTGTGGTGGTTTCTTTAACGTGCGTGGGGCGTGGCTCTCCCCAAACACGGGACCTCCATTTAACGTCCTATCCGAGGGACGTCCCTAGCCGAAGCTAGGTACTCATTTGCACCTGAGTGAAGTGAGGAAAGTCGCGTCAAGTCCCTTTCCCAAGGGCACAGGATCGGTGACCAGGTGAGGTTCGAACCCGGGACCTCTTGGTTCCGGGCAGTAGATGCTACCGCTACGCCACACAACCCCACATTTGTTAACGTAGGCGTAGGTGGTAACCTTGATCTGATGTTCTCTGTTGTGTATATAGTGTAGATAACGAATGACAAATGTCGTGATTTTTGAATGATTGACATGCAGAGAACAACCTGCCGCATTTAATGAATGGGTGAATATTGGTCCTCTGGCTGCTTTTTCATTTTCTTTTCGATGGGGATGTTCTTTTATGTACTACTAAGTCAACAGAGTAGCGATTTCATGACCAATTGAATTAGAAGAAGGGTACAACCTATGTCACAGGTCTTCTGCCTGCGCCGCCTGGTGGTCCAGGATCAGACAAGTATCAAACGTGAACATTGGTTCAACTAGAGTTCCACGATCGCATACCTTCGCCAAATGATGTTAATGTTTATGACGGAAAAATTATATATTATTCCCCCAGATTATACACATAGGATCCTCATTTCCATGAATTATATCAGTTGATCATATTCTCCACCAAAAGACAGTCTTATCTTAACAACAAATGCCATTCTAGCATTTGCTCATAGATTATGCAAATGAGGTCCTTATTTGAATAAGCTATGTTTAACTAGAAAGGCCGACATTTGCTTTGGAGCAAATACAGCGATGGCTTCACCACATTTTACGACATGGCAGGGAAAGAATGAGAAACACAAGGGAAAACAATGCGTTACATTGATATAACTATAGTATGAAGTAACATACAACTAAGACTACAACAGTTGGATAGCTATTCCCTACATTATTGGTTAGGATTTTTAATTGTATAATGCAAACAGTTGATTTTCAAAATAAAAAGAAGCGTGCATGCCCAGCATTCCAATGTTGGAGCAGGAAAGCTTGAAATACCTACCAAAACACTTGAATATAGATATACTGCCAGTATGGAATGCAGTTAATTCAGTTAAATCCCAACAACCAATCAGCAAGAAGAATAGAGGAAAGCTGCATGCCTATTGGTTGATGCCCTGCATTCCATTGTGATGACTAATGCCCAAA